TGAGAGGAAGCCTGGGCTCATGTGACTAAATATAGATTAGTCCAGGCAAGACCCCAAAGTGTATTACTTATTAAGGAAGGGCCAGATGACTGTGGGGTTATTGCTTTATGATCTTTTACTCACCATATTCCTCTGGAATCTGCATGCCAAAGAGACCCAGGTCCTTCAGACCTTTTAAAGTTTCAGGTGGGATTTTTCCATCTCGATCAATTTTCTGAGAATCCACTAAAATTTGAGACATTTTTATAATTGCAATGTTTGTTTGTTAGTACAAATAAAAATGGGCAAAAAATGCATCATATTTAAGAAAATTCCATGACCGGACTAAGCTAAACATTTTTAGGAGTTGCTTCCTGAACTATGTCCAAGCCATGCAAAAAAAGAGACAGAAAGAAACAACACAAGCAGGATAACTGCAGAAATCTTGTTCTTATGAGTTATTCAAACTCTTGGGGGATTACGAGAGCTGTTCTATAGGGTTACAGCAAAACTATGTATTAGCCAGCTCAGGAATGCTGAAAATTGCAGACAAAGGAAAAAAAGCCATGGTTCAAATATAACTGAAAAGAAGCAACTCTGCAGAAGCCAGGGCACTTGCCTAAAGAAACTTCCGTATTCACCACAGCTAAATGATTCTGCAACTTCTTTGTAAAACTTAATGGGGGAAGGCAATCAAAAACTCTGATGCTTTGGAAAGAGAAGTTATTCAGAAAGAATGCACATTTTTAACAAGACTTTTAAAGAATCTACCCTGCAGCAGAAATGATTCGTATGCCACCAGCTGCCATGGCAGGGAAAGATGTTTCATCTCTTATTTCTCCATTAAACCCAAAAGCCTCCCAGCTCTCTGGAGAGAGCCAGGCTTCCTGAATGACTCCTGCTGAGATGAATCTCTTTACCCAATGCCTCCCATATAAAGATTCTCACTGTATCATGCTGCTACATTAACCTACTTTTATCACCCCCTAAGATATCCTGAATACCAGAATAAAAACTGCGGAGAACTCAAGACAAAGACGAGCAGTTCCCGTCATTATCATTTAAGACTCTGACATGACATTTCTATTCCTTCCTTAAATATCAGCTTTTTACCTCTGTTAATTAAACTCAAATAATTTGCTCTCCCCAACAGAGCAAAGAATAATAATAAAAAAAAGCCTCCCTAAGTTCTTAATTTCAACTATGAAAGTATTACAGTAAATTATCCGGATCTCATAAATTCTAATCTATGGAAATGTAGGTCTCTTCAAACTCCTGCAGTGTTTAGCCATCTGGACCTAGTATCTTTGTCAGTTGGAAATCTGAGATGATACTGTTCAACTAACTCAAACATTGCATTTTGTGAAAACAATTTTCTGCAACTGTTTTTGAAATAGCTTTTATGCCACATCACTAGTAGAAGAAACACTCCATGACCCTAATTGAAATGTATGCAGCTAACACAATTTTTTCCAGATTGAATCACACTAGCCTGTCTCAAAAGACACAGAAAGCTTTGATTTTTAGATTTTTTATAGCTTAAGTTCACCTTTTAATAACCTCCACTGAATTTTGCTGCAAAGACAGTTTTAGTACAATAGCACAAACAATTTTCACAAAAAAGTCACAGTATATTAAGCAGAAAACAACTACATGCAACTGAGCTATTAAGAAAAAAAAGTTCTACTTCCATTCCTGAATTCTTTTACTTGCTGTTGGGTTTTGTATTCTGATTCCAAAATTTATTTATTTTCCTCATCTTTGAAGTAATCTACACACAAAAAAACTATACATGAAGGTATCTATACAGTAGCATGACATAAGTGGTAATAAACACATTGAGTAACTTAAATATTTAAATTATAGCAATCTATACAACTACTATAATTAAACAATTCGCAACCACTAGATCTATTACACATATTACACACATACCAAACTAGTAACCATACCTTCTTCCCTGAAGAATTTTTCTATAGGTTGCACAAGCTGCTTGATCTCCTCTAGTTCTTCATTTTTCACTTCTGGGTAAGGAAATACTTCTTCCTAAAAAAAGTATTTTTGTAAAACACAAATCATCTTAAACTTTTGTTTCAGTTAGAACACATGCTTTCCAAATACTTAACTCTCAAAAACTGCGGAAACTGAGATTTGTGGAATTAGGAACAAAATGAGCCTTACCTGATGAAATCTAGAGTACTGAACTGTACTGCATACTTAAATAATTCCAAGGCCAGTACCTGAAAAAGCTACAAGAATCAGCAAAGAGATTTGAGAGCTACTAGGATGTACAGATCCTCGACTGACCGTGAATTTCGTCGTTTTTAGGGATTAAATAATTAGTTTTCTTTTGCATCAAAACTATTTTAATATTGTCCCAGTTTCCGAGGCCAGACCACAAATGCTGTTTTTGGAAGCACGGGGCTCGCTCTGCCTGCGTAACGAGTCGCGGCCGGTGGGCACCGCTCCCCAGCACCGACCGGGCCGGCTGGTTCTTTACGCAACCACTGTGGTCACACCAAACCAGCAGTACGGCCAGACGGCCACGTACAGCCTTGAATAAAACCAACACCAAACAACAGCAACTAATACAAGAAATCAAGGACTACAAGGGAACTGTGCTTCTGATTTTTATTGTTTTTCCCCTTCCAAACGGTAGACATCCCCACCTGCAACCTCTCCCCAAACAAAAGCATTCCTCATCCTCCCAAGAAAATCATGACCTGGAAAAACATAATTATTTCTCAAAAAGTGAATACACTGAAATTTGAGGAGGAAGAAAGTGCTCTATGTGATGGAGTTTGGTCCCTCCCCTTCACAACCCTTCGCTTGGCAAGATTTGTGTGAGGAATCCATGATTCAACGCACGTTGGTGTGCTCGAACCGTGCCGTTTTCCAGTTTATTTGACTCAATGACAGACATGTTCCGAGCCGGCTTGGGAGCAACGAGCAGCCACACCGCGGCTTGGGAGGAACGAGCAGCCACACCGCGGCTGCGCCGCCTCGCTGTCCCGCG